CTTATTTCGAGAGCTTTTCAAAACACATAAATAAAATGTTCTTTTGGTTAAGTAAATTTCGAGTTATAAAGCTTGAAAGCGAGGGGGTACCACTCTTAAATTCCGGTGTACAACCTGTCAGAATTTCGTTGAATTCTTTGAAGTCCGATGAATTCTGGTGTAGTTCGATGAATTCTAGTGTAGTCCGATGAATTCCGGTGTAGTCTGATGAAGTCCGTAAAGTCCAGTGAAGTCTTGAAGTCAGAAGTTCAGGTGTACATATATTTTTTGAGTGGTTATCCCCTCGCTTGAAAGTTAAGAACCGCCGGCAATAGTCATATAAAGTTTTCAACTTAAATTTGTGTGAGTATCACTCTTTGAAATCTTTTACATTACTAGTATCTACTCTGTATACGTATGTACATATTTAGATGTACATACATTTTTTATATATATAGATATATGTATATAATTTTGTAGATATACAAATTTTTCTTGCAATCTATGGTTGCGGAGTATGTATCTTGTACCTTATCAATGGAGAAATCATAGGAGTTCCTCGACTAACTGGAAATTTCACTATCGGATATAAATCAGCAACTTGTGGCTGCAAGCCACAATTGTAGAGCCTTCCAATTTCTAGTAAAATTATATGAGTGTTTTGTTCAGCGTGTCGAGTTAGAACAATGTTTGTCCCTTTTGAATGCAAGGATTTTCTCAAAACTTGTTGCAGATCGTCGTCTGATGAGATTTCGATGGTTACAGCGTTACATGGAATTAAACGTTTTGCTTGTTCAAAAAGAACAGTGTTCAGTATACTACGTGTATGATAGTCCGCGGATGATAATTTTGATGCTAATGTGTGCCATTCGGCACGAGGTATAGAAGTGCTGATCCACTTTGGACTCCGCTTTTTTGGCCGTGGTATTATTTTGTTCAAATTAAACAAAAGCTGAGATTCCACTGATGCGAGAGAAGAACTGTGATACGGCACATTACAATGAATCTCTTTCACCCAAATATTATTAACCTGCGATAATACAAAATTTCAATTTACAATATAAAGATGTAGGTTGTTATAGCTTTCGAAAGAATTCGATATTTTCGAAATTATTAAATAATGAGAGAAATTTCAATTTATTTATAAAATACCAGAGCTGTTCAATTCTACCTGTAATTTTTTCATAAATTCTTGCATAGATTCTGTAGGCCCACTAACAACGCTGCTGCTTTTGCTATTGCGGCATACTATTTCAATATCTATTGGACATATATTTTTAAGGCACTCGTAATCAAAATTGACAATTGCCATAGAGCTACGAATTAATTTTCCTTCGGCACACGCCAAACCAATAAAGTACGCTGATAAAATAGTTTGTTCAATGGTGAGACATTTATCCGCGTACGCGCAACCCAGTTCACCAGCAGAATGACTAATCATATAATCCGGAGTAATTTTTAAGGATGTAAGGAGATCTACTAAACCGATCTGCAAGCGTATATCAATAATTTTGCAGTTAGTCACTACATTTTAAAAATTAATTACTAATAATTTAATAAAATATAATTTAAAAAATAATTCTTATAAAATGCAAATTCTTTTGCAATACAATAACAAAATAAAAAAATGTACGTTTATCATCTATTTTACTAAGAAATATGATATAAATAATATTAATGTACAGCTTTAATTAATATATAATACTTTACCTGAATA